GGTTGGTTATGGATAATAATGAACTAATATGATAGGATGAATATTTTTTGGAATGTGTGCTTGCAATTTTGGATTAAATAGGGCTTGTATGTCCCACGTTACTCTTTATTTCTTGATACACTTCTCTTCTCACCAAAATCCCCTTAAATTTAGCTTAAGGTTTCTAAATAAAAACAAAAAACAAAAATAAAAGGTGTAAAGTATTTTGTAGTTTATTTATGTTAGTATAAATTAAGATTTGTAATCAAGAAAGAATATGGAGGTTCCAAAAGATGTATTCAACAGAGTGAAGCTCTTGAAAAAGGTAGTTCGAGCAATTAGAATTACCTAGGTTCGGCCCACTAATTTCTTTATAGCTCAAAGAAATTGGTATTGGAATTGTCCATGACCAACCTTGTGAGTCTAGTATATGTGTTGCAATTATTTTATGATTATGCATACTAAATGATTAGCTAAATAGTATTTGAGATTATATTTGCATGTTAACTAAAAGATGGAACCTAATAAAGAATTTAGTCAAAATAATATTAAGCTCATTTACCTTCTATTAGGGTTTACAGGTGTAAACCATTATTCACCATTGACTTGTTGATATAAATAAAGGTCATGGCTATTTTCAATATGTTAATAGTACTAAACATGAGATGCCATCTAATAAGTTGGGCTTAAATACATTATTAGGCCCATTTAGGTTACTCTTAGCTTAATAATATTAAAGGTAAGGGTTAGGCAATGCATAAGATACATCTAACAAGAGTTATTTGTCTAACTGATCTAAGAGTTGCATGAAATGCAATTAGTAACTAGTACCTTTTAGTTCAACTTATTACTTACATAAAAATAAATTTATCAATAAAAATAAGAATAGTTTTTGTTCGTATCATCAAGAGAAAGGTAAGTTGAAATCAATCATAAATAGTATGACATGAAATACCAGATAATAATCAACTACAAGGAGATGATTGACAACAAGTAGGGAGTTATAATTGACTTGGATGAAGTGATCAACCATAAAAATATAAAAATAAAAGATTCATATGATTGACTAGAGCATTCAGACCTATACAAAACATGAATATTTAACATTTACACTTAGTGTTACATAACATATTAGAGTTCACATGTTTATTAGAAAATGAGATATGTTTTAGCTAGAGTACAATTTGTATTAGAATTCATCATGAAAACTCCTTATCTTATGTGGATGGTTTATATAGGATTAGATTTAATAGATTATGTAGGACTTTAATATTTTTTAACAATATAAATACAGTCATACAACTATTGTAAACAATGGTCAACCCTATATATGCAATTTTATTCAATTTATCTTTCTTATTTTTATTTACAGCTTTAGTTTATTGCTTCTTTATTAATTTCATTATTTCTTAGTATCCTTTATCTTTTCTAAAACTTTCCTCTCTTATTTTGAACATGCTTTATTTCACATGTGATGGTAAACAAAACATATAGTTTTTTCTTAATGTTTGAGATTAAATATCCTCACATTTAACTTGATTTCATAAGATTATTTCCAAAATTCGCTTAATATTAAATTCTCACTTATAATTTTTCTTTATTGAAAGTAAGAAATGAAGACCACAATATTTATTTTATTAAATATAAAATTATACAAGATACTAAAAGGGCTTAATGCCCCTCTTATTGCTTACTTAGACACAAAGTATTGTGGATTCGAGTAATGTGATGGCAACCCAGCCCTTACCACAAAGAATTGCAAAGGCAACAAGGGAGGGATGGGGTTGTCTTTTCACCAGAATACATTTGGCTTTGAAGGGATGGTTGGGGAGAAAATGGTCCCTTCAAGTTTTGGTAGGTTTGCCTTAGGCATTAGATAAGCCTGCGCCCCCACATGAGGACATTTGGTGTTTGGGCTAACTCGGCCTTGTGCTGAGGCTGGCTTGCCCTTGCCCTGGACATGAGCTAAGCTCGTACCTCGATGTGAGGACTCATGATGCTTGGGCTGCTTCACTTGCACCGGGTCAAACCTGTGCACCATGTGGCACTAGGGTTAGCTTGCCCAAGGCACATAGCCAGACTCGTGCTCCATGTGGCAAGACCTAGCACTTGGGCTACCCTGTTTATGTGCTAGGTTAGACCCGATGTGGCATTAAGGTTGGCTTGCCCTGTGTCTAAGGTTAATGGATCCTACATTAGGACTCAATTTTCTTAAGTACTTTGTCAAAACCCAAGGCTATTAGGTCTTAAGTTTCTAAATATAATTATGTCCGTTATAAATATTATTATTTTTATTATAGTTGAAAGTATTAATATCAAACATATTATAATTTAAGTTCTACATATTATTTGTTCAATTGTAATAAAAATGATAATATTTATATCCCAAATAATAGTATTGTTGATATTAATACATTGAATTATAATAAATAAAAAAAAACATAATTTTTAGAATGCAAATAATACATTATTTCATATTAATACTTTTAATTATAACAATAAAAAAATATTTATACCGCAAATAATAATATTTCTATCACAAATAATATTATTTTTACTACTAATACTTTCAATTATAATAAAAATAATAATCTTTGTACCGTAAATAATAATATTTTTATATTAATACTTTGAACTACAATAACAATAAATATTAATACTTTCAATTATAATAAAATAAAAATATTTGTACCAAAAATAATGATATTTACACTACAAATAATAATATTTTTGATATTAATTCTTTGAAATATAATAAAAATATTAATATTTATAACACAAATAATAGTAGTTTTAATATTAATACCTTCAATTATAATAAATATAATAATATTTATGGTGTTTGGGTTGTCTATCCTTGCGCATGGTCAGACCCAAACACCACGTGGCGCTAGGACTGGCTTGCCCTTGCCCTGGGCGGGAGGCAAGACCACATCCCCACGTAAGGACACCTGGTGATCAGGCTGCCTGCCCTTGCCCTGGTCAAACCCAAACACCACGTGGCGCTGGGGCTGACTTACCCTTGCCCTGGGCAGGAGTTAGGCTCGCATCCTCACGTGGAAACACCTAGCACATGGGATGTCTTTCCTAGTGTTGGGTTAGACCCGAGTGCTACGTGGCGCTAGGGCTAGGTTTCCTTACCCTAAGCATGAGCTAGGCCTGCGCCCCTATATGGGGACACCTAGCGTCTGGGCTGCCTGCCCTTGCACTGGTTCAAACCAGAGCACCATGTGGTGCTGAAGCTGGCTTGCCCTTACCCTAGGTGGGAGCTAGCTTGCACCCCCACATGGGGACACTTAACACTTGGGCTACCTACTCTTGTGCTAGGTTAGACCCAAGCACCATGTAGTGTTAGGACTTGATTGCCAAGGACTCGCGTGCCATGTGGTGAGGCGTGGCGCTTGAGCTACCCTACTTAGATGCTTGTGTTAGGACCCAATGGTAATGGGTTGTTGTCAGGACCTAATTTGCTTGGGTCCTACGCCACGATGTAATGGTAATGGGTCCAGTGCAAGACCAAATGGCAATGGATCCTACGCAGCATAGTTTTGAAACTTGGCCTAGCTTGGCGGGTCAACTTGGAACCCGACCAACTCAAGACTGGAATCAGGTCAGGTTTAAGAAAAAATATAGAAAGTCAAAACTCGAAGTGACCTAGTTAACCCTACAAGACTTAATCAAAAATATAGTTGCAACTCGTTGATTTTTGTTTTTTTACTAAAACAATGTCGTTTAATGTTTTAAAAAAATCAGAATTGGCTCGGATGACCTAGTGACCAGGTCAAAACACGAAACCTGAGCATTGAACAGGGTCAGCCATTGGACCAGGTTCAAAAACTCTATTGCGCAGGATCTAATGCCATTAGGTCCTATGGAGGACCCATGTCTAATAGGTCTTGCCTCTTGACCAATTCGCTTGGATCCTCACCAAGACCCAAATAATTTGTGTTATAAATATTTTTTAGTTTTTTAATATAATTATATTTATAAATATTATTATTTATTTTATAATTCAAAGTATTCATATTAAAAATATTATTATTTGTGTTATAAATATTATTATTTTTATTATAACTTAAAGTATTGATATAAAAAAATATTATTATTTGTGTTATAATCATCTTTGGAATTTTTAATATAATTATTTATATTATAAATTTTATTATTTTTATTATAATTAATATTATTAATAAAATAATTAATTATTATTAATATTTAAAAAATGTTATTTTTTATGCTATAAGTTTTTACAATATTTTTTATGATAATAAAAAATAAATTCACCGAACAACACGAACATCTAACTAGTGTATTACTAAAGAAGAATGCAGGAAAACTTGCTGCCACTGCAATTGATGGACAATCAATACAACTAAGAAAGTGGGGCCAGCAAGTTCATCAACATCTTGGACTTCAAAATGTCATGTGAAGCTGTCCATGTTTGTGTCCTAATCTGATAGACGGTACCAAAGATGTTGCTTTCAAATGGCAGCTGAACTCATACGTATGTATGATAAAGAAAAGAATGGCAGACAACCAGGCATGAATGGCCAGCTCAAAACAAAATCTCCCCTAGTAATCATAAAATTCTACTATAAAGAATTATGTGGAGAATAGATATAATACAGGATTCAGTTTCTGTTTTTCATGATTTTAACTATCCAAGATCCTTTGTAAATATCTAATAATTTCGGCAAATAGTTAAATGCATAAATGAATCTTTTAATCTCTAATAGAATTTGAATGAATCCTAAAGCCAACCACTTTGGACAGCTAGGAATTTTAGAGTATCCTATTAACTATTGTCGGAAACAATGTGGAGATTGCCACAATACTACTGCATCATATATAACTCCAAAACCCATCTTCCTTTTTATTGCAATTCCCACCGAAACGAGAGATAAATTTCCGAAAGCAAAAGTAGGGAAACAAAGACACTTTCTCGAGCCAATTTAGCTTTCTTTCTCCTCCCTATGAATTTCCCACAAGGATTAAATCCAGATGAAGGATCTCCAGGATGGATGAACAAAGCAGACAGCGCATGGCAACTAACAGCAACCACAATGGTCTGCCTACAGAGTGTTCCTGGGCTAGTCATTCTATATGGAAGCATGGTCAAGAAAAAATGGGCTGTCAACTCTGCCTTCATGGCCTTCTATGCCTTTGCCGCGGTCCTAGTCTGTTGGGTCCTATTGGCCCATCAAATGTCCTTTGGGGCCAAGATGAGCCCACTGTTAGGGAGACCTGGCTCTGCATTGTCAGAAAAACTTCTCCTTGGACAGTCTAGGAGGGGTTTGGTCCCAGTGGCTGATTTTGTGTTTTACCAATTTGCTTTTGCTGCTATTACTGTTATATTGCTGGCAGGTTCTTTACTTGGGAGGATGAACTTCTATGCATGGATGTTGTTTGTTCCTCTATGGCTGTTTGTCAGTTACACTGTTGGTGCCTCAACTATCTGGGGTGATGGCTTTCTTGAAAGACGTATAATTGATTATGCTGGTGGCTACGTAATTCATCTTTCCTCTGGGGTGGCTGGTTTCACTGCTGCATATTGGGTAATTCAGATGCACTCCTTATACTTTTGTGTGTTTTAATTTAAGAAAATAAATATTCACCTCGAAGAAGAAGAGTTATTAATAATAAATAAAAGAGAAATTTTGTTCTCTGCCAATGGATTTTGTTGCATGCAAGCTATCTGACTGCTTAATTTGCGATGATGGTGGGTGATCATATACATATAGGTAGGACCAAGGCATTCACATGATAGGCAAAACTTTCCGCCAAACAACATAATTCACATGTTAGGAGGTGCAGGGTTCCTATGGCTGGGATGGACAGGTTTCAATGGTGGATCTCCTTTTGCAGCTGGCTTGGTTGCTTCGTTGGCCATTTTCAACACTCATCTTTGCACTGCAACCAGCCTCTTGGTATGGGTTTCCCTGGACATGGTTTTTTACAGGAAAAGTTCTGTCATTGGTGCTGTCCAGGGGATGATCACTGGACTTGTTTGCATCACTCCCGGTGCAGGTCAGCCCTTTGTCGAGGCAATTTCTTACGTTCACATTATGCATTCTATATACGATGATAAAAGTATGAAACATGACGCGGTAATTGATACATGGCAGGGATAGTGGAACCATGGGCAGCACTATTGATGGGAGTAATGTCTGGTTCAATTCCATGGTACACAATGATGGTGTTGCACAGGAGGTTTGCGTTCTTCCAAAGCGTGGACGACACATTGGCTGTCTTCCACACGCATGCTGTGGCTGGACTTTTGGGAGGAATTCTTTCTGGCATCTTCGCTAAGCCTGCCCTTCTAAAGTTGATGTACCCAGACACCACGTACCATACAGGATTAATTTATAGTTTCAGTGGAGGAAGACATGCGGATGGCTTTAAGCAGATGGGCATCCAACTTTTGGGAGCTGCTTTTATTACTGCTTGGAATGCAGGCGCTACAAGCTTAATTTGTATTCTGATAAGCCGCATTGTCGATCTTAGGATGAGGGAAGATGACCTAGAAATAGGTGATGATGCTGTGCATGGTGAAGAAGCCTATGCACTGTGGGGTGATGGGGAGAGGATGCCGAAGCCGCTTCGTCTGCACATGCATCCCAGACTTCCTTACTTCTGCCGACAACGCTTCTGATATGTCCATCAGAACTGCATATGTAATGCATATCTAATAAGTTGCAATGCATTACCATGGAATAAGGCAGTATTGCTTACTGGTTCATTGCTGCGGCACTTATCCACTTTTTGTTGGATTATTGCTGCTTGCATCTTGTAAATTTTCAAGTTGGAAAAGTAGTTGTGATTATTGTCAGAAAGAGAGGCATCTTATCATTATGTATCTTGCAAATTGGCAATTCGTAAGGTCTACAAAACGCAAAAGCTTTATGCTCTAAAAGATATGCTGGCTTTTTAAAGACATCAAAGATATACAATTCTGTCTCGGAGAAAAAAATAACGAACACAAATGCAGAAATAAAACTGAATAACGTTGTATCAATGCAATTAGCAAAGGAGAACAGGCAGGGATGAAAATTTGATAATTAATTTCACTGTGTCACAACTCACAACTGTACACAAGTATTCATTGCAAATACACGTATATCTAAAAAGCTTTACATCATAGGGTGGCGCAAAACGGCCAATTAAAGAACGGATTTCATATTCAAGCCCATTTTCATGGAGCCTTCAACGTCACTGCCTGCAAATCTATTCAATTATAGCAGGTTCTTTCTTCCTTTCAATAAAAATCATGTGAAGAAGAGTTTACTCAAGCACAAAAATCAGTGCAAGGAAGCAACGGTAGCTTGTCATGTTTTCTCCAACCAGGGGAAGAAATAAGAGAGCATAAAAGACAAGAGAACTGATTAGAATTACATGGTGATAGAACACGTTGATCTTTTTCTTTGAGAAACATCATTTCTATTTTTTACATACACATCATCTACAAAGGTTTACATTTGTCACTGCAGCAATAGTATCTTTCAATCAGTATGGAAGAGAGAATTGATCATCTAATAGCTTTCAACAATTCAGGGGGAGACTTGATCAAACTTACATGGTGGGCATATCATTTCTGGAAGCAAGTTTAAGCTGTACATACCAATATTTTGCACTTCTGACGACTATACACGAGTCCCTTGGACTGTTAACTGACATGAATGTGCTATCAAAGTGCTATGCAAAAGAATACCCATGATTATTTGTTTTCTGACCAGTATTCACCCGACAAATTCCATCTGAAACTACATAGGAACAGGCTCAAACAGACCAGCCACAAGCCAACAGTGGGAGCCTTAATAATAAAAACATCCTGAAATAAAGTTATATAGACATTAAGGCAGCCGTTACGTACACAAGCAGCAAGGTAGAAGTTACACATGCAAGCTAGAAGCAACACTTTCAAAACTTGATATACCTTAAGTCGGCTAATGTTCCTGCCTTGACTTGCGAAGCTCCATCAGCTTGTCTCTCCACATTGCTGCAAGAGCAAGTGATCAAAATCAAATGGTGCTAAGAAGCAAGAGACTTCATTGTGTGAGAGTATAATTGATAATGAACATGAAATTTGCACTGTCAAAACAAAGTAATTTTTATTTTAAGTACCTGCATCAGTGTACCTTTCCTCTTTAACAGCTAAATTCATATTCCTTACAAGATCAAGTTCCTCTACTAGTGAATCTGGACCATCAGCAGCACTGGACAAAAAGATTCAAATCAATCTTAGAATCAGCCTCCCATGGAGATGACATTGATGATGGGGCATAAATAAGCAAGCATGGCCAAATACCTATCAAGGGACACATCATAAATAGGCTTTGAATTACACACTCTTCCCACCCCATAACCAATTCGAATAGCATCAGTTAAAACAATTTGTTTACTTATATAAATTGGAACCTGCATAGAGCAAAGTCCAACAATAATCAGCAGCATGTAAATCTTTTAGTACAATCAGAAAAAGGTTGTCAAAACAGTTAAACTAAAATCAGAAAACAAACAGTGATCATTCAACATTGAAGATAGTGACAGCATTTGAATAGCTACGGTTTGGAGATAAATACCTTACATCTACTTGCCACATTTATGGCATCTGACGGTCGTGCATCCACACTAAGAATATCCTTTTCCCCAGGCTGCATATATTTGAAGTTCCATTTAAAAAAAATAACAAGTACTAGTGATAATGTTTTTTAGGACAACTAAGACATTTAATTCACAACTTTCTTTATTACCTTGCTAAAACATAATCTTGCAAAGTAAGTATTTGCCACTCTCTCTGTAATCCGTACCATTTTTACCTGAAATGAAGACATGGAATGCTAAGGATGAATCTTTCTAAACTTTTCAATGCACTACAACTAATAGCCTAAGTGCCCAACACATATAGTTTCATACATCATATCCAAGTTCTTCTGCTACATTTCCAACAAGTTGGAACTGATCAGCGCAAACCTGCGAAAAAATCATGCAAACACAAGGGCTGTTAAAAAGTAAAGTTAATAAATAAACCAACAATAAATACAAGGAAGATGGGGGGGGGAGATTACTGCATTATCATCTCCTTGTATTCCATCTATCAATTTCTCAATAGCAAACTCCCCTGTGTCAGAAAACAATAAAACTTAACAACTAGCAAATTTGTCCAAATTTGTAATAAACAAAGACAATAAGAAAAAAATGAAACGACAGCTTTCTAATATACCAACAATAATCGGCAGCACAAAGTCACCATCACAAGAAACTTTAAGGAAAATCGTGGGACTTTGAAATCCACGAAGAAAACCATGTCCTAATAATCCTGTATTAGGCCTCGCTTCCTTTCTTTCTTGCAGACCAAAAGGAAACACCAATTTACCAGATGAATGCCATCTAACCTCCTCTTGAAATCCTTGCTTCCGCATTCGATAATGAGAAATTGTCTCTGCAGCCCATCAAACCAATTAAGAGATTGTCTCACAATAACTCATTAACTTCATTTCTCTTTTTCCCTTCTAGACCCTATCCAATCTATATAACCAAAACCCATTTATGAAAGACCAGCAAAATCTCTTAAAGTTGGGTTTCTTTTTTTTAACTTGAATTAAGGCTACTTAACTTCCACATTGCAAACAAACTCATAAAGTACACCTCTTTTTCCCCTTTACCATACCCAATCAAAAAACCAATACCCATTCCTTAAAATGCACCAAAACCTCACAAAACTGTGTTCTTTTGCATTTTTAGAGGCAAATCCAATAACAAAATCCACAGCTTTCTAAACCTTATCTAAGAAAAACAACCACAACCCATCTTTTTAAATTCATCAAAACCTCGTAAATTAGTGTTCTTTTTTCATTTTTTGAAACAAGTTCAACAACAAAATCTACACACAAGTATCTATGTACAAAGAATATAATTATTAAACATAAAAAGAGAGGGAAGGAGAGGAACCTGAAACAAGAAGGGATGCAGGGAGATAATCAAGACCATCATCATCATTATTATTATTATGAGCATTAGTGGATCCACTGCTATCACTGGAAGCCTTACAAGAAACTGATATTGATCTGGGACATTGAAAGCGACACCGTATCCTCATAACTGAGAACTGAAAGGAACAAGATGGACTCGGAGGAGTGTTTTTTTGAGGTGAGATTAAACGACAGGTCGGGTAATTTCCTTGATCTGTTGTCTTCAGAGTCTTGAAGCCACTGAATGTACGAACTGGGAATTGAGCTCCTAGCATTTTTCGTGTTTTTTTTTTTCTTGTCTATGTGGATGTTTGTGTCTGTGTTTGTTAGGAAGAGATGTTAAAGGTCATAACAGACAGGGAAGTGGAGAGAAGGACGGGGAGAAGGGGGTGGTTGGGTTTTGGAAGCCGCGAGTTAAAATAAAGCATGTCCTGTGCTTATTTATTAGGCTTTATCGTCATCCACTGTTTCAAAACTGACCAAATAAAATTATTTTAATACACTCTTATGTTGCAGAATATGCAAGAGAAAATTTTTGTTAATATATTAATTCCGATAAAAAAAATCAACCTTAATATGTAAAAAACGATTTAAGAATAACTAAACTGTTTATTTTTTAAATTATTAAATTTTATATTATATTGAAGTTCATCTTCATAGAAAGCATTGTTTATTAGAAAATTGCTTTGGTTTTTTAGTTTACTTATTTTTTCAAAATCTTTTTAGTATTGAGCTTATAAAATATTATTTTTTTATTTATTTTCTATAAGGTTATCTCAATTTTATAATTTAAATAGTAGATTTTTCAGGTTAATTTGGGTTTTTAAATTTTTTATTAATTATTTTTTTTAATTTTATTTTTTAATATTAAATTAATTATAAATTAAATTTTATAATTTGTTTTTTACAAATTTCGAAACCACAGGGTAGCGTTGAGCAAGCCAATGATTCAGTGGATAGCTAAGATAAGAAGCCAAGAGAAAGAAAATGTGCTTAGGATTAGCACAAGGATATAATCTTTATCTGTTAGCCCAACATGATTGCATGGGTCTAGTCATTTTACACAACTCGTTTTTTTTTAATCTAGGGTTTGGATAATGTCAAGATTTCTCTTTTGGTTGGACAATGATTGTGGTGGAAAGAGTTTTAGGTACTGTGACAACGTGCTGTCAAGTTACTCTACTTGCAATGAAAAAGGGAAAAAAAAGTCATTTTTTGTTTATCATGATGGAAACAAAATGCAGTGTTAATTATATAATAATGACAATCAAAGCTTCATTTCTTTCCTGTTATAATACATATATATATATATATATATATAGAGAGAGAGAGAGAGAGAGAGTAATATCAGATACATATGGGCTGCCATTTTTTATCCAATCGGAAAGTGCCCTTGGCATATTTTTGTGGATTCTAGAAGATAACAATTCCTTTATCTGCACCCGTCCAATTCCTCCATACTAAAAGGTATAATCTTGTACACGAGGGAGCTTAAGTGATAGACCCACTGTCAGGGCAACAATTTCCTGCGAATCTTGGATAATGGGAAGATACGAAGTGGTTCCGTTAAAGCAGTTGGGAAGCTGAGGCGTTATAAGGATTTTTTGCCAAAGCTGGTTTCTTCGTGAACTGCTTCAGCAGCTTGATAAGCTCGTAGGTCCTTGTGTCTCTACCAGAAGAGAGGCAGAGATCGAGTGGTGTTAAGCCATCCTGAGAGGGAGGTATAAAAAAAATGTGATTTGTGATGACAATATAACGAAAAAGGACTTTCAAAAAATGGCCACATACTAAGATTTTCCTTTCATTTTTTTTTTTTTTTCATTCCCCAGCTATGAAGCTTTTTTTATTTTTTTGAATCCCCGTTTCATTTATTGACCATGGATCCTCCACATAAAGGAGGCAGCCGATTCTTATCAACCTATTGCTCTAAGTTTCAAACTCCAAGCAATTTTGTCTGTATCTCTCGATTGTTAGCAGTGGTGACACAGTATGCAACCTAAGCTTTACTATCATCTCAATGCGGTAAAGCACAGTACAAAAGCCAGAAACACATGCAAGCGGTGGTCTGATATCTTCCATGAATATTCATACGATGTGATGGTATGAGAGATTCCTAGAATTACCTTGTTTTTTAATGTCCTGTCCGCTCTTTTAATTAATAAAAGCTTCACTATGTCTGCTCTCTGGGTTTGAACAGCAAGATGTAGCGGCGTCCATCCATCCTGAAAGGGTAATAAATGAGAGTGTTCACCAATGAAGCATCGAAACTGAAATGGAAAAAAAAAAAAAAAAAAGTTTGGTTATATCATCCTCACATTGTCCTGAAGGTTTATATCAACGTTATATAACAGAAGAAGTTTGATAGCTGGAGCAGATGCAGTTTGAACTGCATAATGCATCAAGGTGGCACCCTCCTGTCAGCAGCAAGAAAAGAGAAAGATGAAGGCAAATACAATCTCATTAGAAAATGGCTGCAAAAAAGATGATGATTAGTCATAAGAGAACAAGTTGAACATGGTAAAATAAGATAAATACATATAATGATTGTACTGGCAGAAAAATAAAGTTATGATAGAGAAAGTCATTGCGTCAATGCTCACTGCATCACGAACAAAAGGATCTGCTGATTCTCTCAACAGATAGCTGGTTATAGCTTGCTTTTTGCATAATATTGCTCTGTGAAGTGCAGTCCAACCATTCTGAGGAAAATATAACGATCCAAAGTTCAAAACTGAGCAAACATGAAATACTAAGAATTCCAAGCATTTTTCATCCAATATGAAATAAAGGGAGGGAAGTGTATAAAACTTGATGGGACTGACAAAATCCAACAAATCAGCACAAGGCACTTCCACCTACCACATCCACGGCATTGATGTCCACATTGTGCTTCAACAACGCATCCATAAGGTGGAATTCTCCTGATGCAGCAAGCGTGTGGAGAGGTAGCCATTTGCTCTGCAGAGAATTCAACAAAAATAAAAAACTACAAATGAATCGCAGATTTGCGTAATGTATATTATCCAAAAAAACAATTGCACCATGTACAGCCTGTCATAACTTCTCCAAACAAGAAAGACATGCACGACCAAAAAATGCAGGGGGGGATACAGCTATTGTAACTGTAAGAAACTTCTCATTTAATTCCAAAATCAGATTGGAACATCAGCTAGCAGTTCGATAACTACAAATTGAGAAAGCAGCAGCTAATTATTAAACAACAATAAATATACATCAAAATCAAATACAGTGACGAGAGTGGTTCAACAGACAGTGAACTCACAGAGTTAGCAACTGCTAGATCAGGTACCCGCTTATTCAACAAAACCTTTTCCTCCTTCGTAAACAACTTGCGTTTACCTATTTATTCAAAAACACAAGGCAGAAAAGGCGATATGAATAGCAAGATCTTGAAGCTCACATGCAAAACATTGAACAAAACAAAGCAACATCAGCACTCAAATCCAGAATGCATCTCACACGCTTTAAGAACTAAGTAACATAAGGTGAAATAGCATCGAGTAACCCTAAGAGAATTAAAAATCATATTCTTCACAGCTTACACCAAATTCACACTAAAATTAACTAGTTTTGGATCAATCAAGCCAATAACAACAAATTCAATCCCTCTTATCAATAAACAAACAAACTACAATATCAACAAGAAAACAACAACCGATACAAAACCCAAGTTCAAAACTGAAAATAGAAAAGCAATTACCCTCAGATTTATGTTCGCCAGGCTCATAATCCTCACTGTTAAGAAACTCTCTAACATCATCTAAACCTCTCCCATAAACTGCCCATCTAGGATGCTTCCCTTTCACCCTCTCGTTAACAATCTCCTTCACTTCCACCTCGTCCTCTTTCATTTTGTCCTCTTCTTTAAAACTCTCTGGATTACCGAGCACAAGTGGCTTCAACTTTGCCAATTTTGCTTCTTTAAAAGCCTGATATTCCTCTAGATTCACACTCCTGATAGGAACCAACCCTTTCTTTTTCCTTTCGAATTTTTTATTATATTCCATTTCTTGAGCAATCTTTCTCCTTTCCTTTTTGCCAATATTAATCTCTGCTTGCGCATCTCTCCATTTCTCTGGCACCAAATTCTCTGCTTCAATTGTAGGAACAACCTTTTTTTTCTTTTTCTTGGAAGTTTTCAACTTTGGGTCCTCAATGGCATTTGAGTTGGTTTCCAAATATGGGTCTTCAAAAATGCCTTCTTCAAAGAGTAGACAGCCACCAATGGCATGGTCTTGGTCTTCAAAATTGTAATTTTGTATAGCGAATTGGGATTGTAGAGAAGATGAGAAAGAGTGGATTTTTTGGGAAAATTTCAGGATTTTGAAAGATGAAAACTTGAGAGGTGGAGGGAGAGATAGATGGGCGTGTAATTTTGGGGTTTGTGGTGGGTTTAGCAGAGCTGGGAATGACATTGTTTCTGCAACTTTGGAGTAAGAAATGGAGCTGATTTTGGTGGCCCTTTATACGTCCTCTTTCTTTAGAATTTGTAGGGGCTGGATTATAGCACAAATTAATGGGCTAATGGGGTGAGTTGAGACTTGAGACTGGCTTAACAAGCTTTGACTTTTTGTTAGTTCCCATTGTTTTGGGGGGTAGAGATTAGAGAACAAGGATGATTTTCATTCCAGAATCTTCATCCTCTCCATTTGACTGTTGTTATCACCAACTCGTTGGATTTGGGTCCATCTTACTGGTGATTAGCCAGCTGGATCTACTTAGCCATTATCATTTATTGATATTGTTCGAAAAACTAATTTCAAATAAATACCCATTTAGGTTCCAAATCTTGAAAGATGGCTAACATCGTTCCTTTCACATGTTGCAAACCATCTCCAGAGCCATCCTTTTTCTCCCTTACATTTGCACCATTCTTTCCACATGTTAATCATCTCACAAGGGATTTTTCTTTTTGGCAAGAAAGAAATGTAAACAAGGGGATTTTTTAATTAGTGGACAAATTATCTTCCATCAACTTCGGGGCAACCCCACAACGAAAAAATCGCCTTTCCACTTCTTGATGGTAACCTGAAATTTTCTGCGTTCCCAAGCTGAACGTTAGGGTGCATCAGCTGATGGTAACAATGGATGCGAGCTGCTTTTGTTCGCAACTGTAGCTGGCCACTGACAACAAAATTGAACTACTGACCGGTGCTTTCATTTGTACCTTTATTTTATAACACGGTATAATATGGAAAGATTGTTTTAAGGCAACAATCAAAAGACAACCATACTCTGACCAATTTTCATTTCCATGGCATTGCGAAGCAAAGCCATAAAAAAACGTGCTCACCATCAAGGTCATAAGCTACTGCAAAAAGTTTCAACTCTCAAGCATTGAACAACAATCACTCGAAAATAAAATACGCATTAATGGCTTACTGTTAAATAAAGGTTTGCCACCATAACAATCACGCAGAAGAAGCTCAAACATTACACAAGTCTCACGCATACCATCTTACTATTTCATATTACCCAGTCGTTCAAAGGAAAGAAAGTGCAGTAACAACACACAACTACATGTTTCTTGGAGGATGTAAACAAGTGAACTCAGATCTCACAATAAACACATAATTTGCTTAAAATTTAAGCAAATATTGTTACATCACCATGATTTCCACTTCACAAAATAACTTAAGGCCTGTCTCACCTAGAGCCTCTAGGAGAATAAGGGGACCTGGACCTGTCCCTCCGTGATCGTCCACCATAGGGAGAGCGCCTGGGAGAATAATCACGACCACCACGATAAGGAGAGTGCCTTGGAGACCTGCGATGGTCATCACGACCATAGCCACCACGATACCTACCACGATCCCCCCCACGATCACCACCACGATCACCACGAGAGCCTTTCCAAAAAGCAAGATAAGTTAGTAAAATTCAAGCAAGGACATGCATTGAAAGTGTAGATAGAGCTCTTTCTTTCTAAGATAAAATTACACATATACAATATAAACTTACCATAGTCCCTGGTATTCTTCAGCCCAAGATAGTGTCCTGGCGTTGGAGTTCTTGGCCGTTTCCTCCGTGACTGAAAGTTACATGAATCACCTCAATACAGCAAACTATGAAAAATGTTCAACTTGGACAAAACAAACTAGGTAAGTACAGAACTGAAACTTTCAGAACATATGCTTACCTGTAAAACTAAATAATATAAAAGCACACAACCATAAACATATTGTAAGGAGAAAAACTACACCTAGGAAGACAGCAAGGGGCAGGCTATCTACCAAGCACAACAAGGACAACAATCAGGCATATATGACTACTGTCTACTAACTGTTGGGCATGAAATACCATAAAGCCTGATTAGAAAGAAGTTGATAATGTCCGTTGATTAGTTGAGTTGAAATTGAATGCTTGATAATGTCCGTTGATTAGTTGAGGGTTGAAATTGAATGCTGATGTTGTATAGTTGTTGAACAATATAGTTGCTATGTTTAGTTGATCACTAGCATTTGAAAAGCTGTTTAAGCTGGCCATTGATCAAGCTGTTACACTTAAGTTGACATGGATGAACTGATCATCTTTGATTGCTGCCAACATAGCTGACGCAATGTGTTCTGAATATAACCAGAAAACTTCCAAGTTAAGAATAAAGATCCAATCAAAATGGGTTGGTGAGCATCACCAACGAGATAATCACATTACCTTTTCCACAGTGATATATCGCCCCTCCAGAACTGACTGGTTGAGATATTTCACACAACGATTGGCATCGTCAACATTGTCCATTGTAACAAAAGCAAACCCACGAGAAATGCGTGTCCGTGGCTCCACAACAAGAAAACAAGAAGCAACCTAAAAAATATAAATTCTCCAATAGTTATTAATTGATACAAAAATGGATGACAACCACATTTAATAAGAAATATTAATTATACATCAAACAACTGCCTTAAAAGGGACCAACCTTTCCCTCCTTTGAGAAATGTTCTTCAAGATCCCTTTCTGTGACCCTTGTAGACAGCCCTGTCACATATAGTGTATTTCCAGGATTTACAACTTCCGTCCTGCCATATAACCAACCAAGTAAAGATTAACATATAAATAATCTAAACAACAATGATGAAGCAAATACAGATCCACAATACACATTTGAGGAAACACCTTAACACATGTCTGTCATTCTAAGAAATTGCAATTTTAAAGCTGCAACTAACCTGTCATGATCTCTAGACCTTGATCTGTGCAGCGACCACCAACCATCCATGTAATAAAGCCATAAAATTAGTGTTGGATGCAGATGTGCATTAGTGCCACAATTACAAACCAGCACACAATAAGCAAAAACCCAGGATTACAGTACCTTCCACGACTTCGTGACCGTGACCTATGCCTTAGCCTTGGCAATGATCTTGATCTGGATCTAGACCTAGGCCTGGGCCTTGACCACGATCTTGACCTAGACCTCGACTGCTCTCTCCAAGGCGAAGGAGAGCGTGAATCCCTGGTATGCCCAGTTCAAATAACATCAACACAAAACAAAAAGGTGCAGAGCCAAATAACCATATATATCTAAGCAACACAAGCTTGGCGAGGTAACAAATCTTAATAAACTCAAAAAATCCAAACTTTAACAACATAAAGCCATTGTTTGTGATAGCAATGCCATCTTTCAAACCCTCCATATTTTTTTCAGATTCCTTAGATTTGCAGAAATTTGAAACCAAAACAAAGCCATAGCCGCTCTTAACACATTCCATTACATAAGAACCTGAAGTCATTATTTGTAGCTGTCATCCCTCCCATCAAACCCTTCAATATTTTTAAAATCCCGTTGAGTAAACAAACGTATATCAGCTAGCCCCAATATTAAGATTATCAAACAAACCTAAGATTCGTGACATTAATCATTCTTAAACACCTCAAAACACAAAACCCGTATCTTAAAACATCGAAAGTTAATGAAAACATAAAAATAAATATATAAAAAAGCCCTTAATCTATATTAAAACTAGTTCGAGATGTTACCTTTTGACTGGAGAATCAGCCTGTAAGAGATGGAAAAGATTAATTAGGTCTTTAAATTGTCAACAAATTACATGTATAAAGAGAGAATGAGAGAGAAATTTCACCATTGGAAACGATGAAGAAGCCGAGACCTAATAGGGTTTTCTTTGGTTTTGAATGAAGAGCTCGACTCCAAAGGCTTACTTAAAATAAAATAAAGGCAGAGAAATCATAGGATACTACACTACACTTTGATTCCTATAATGTTTCATATATTTCAATTTAGTCCTAATCTTTTAAAGATTCCCAAAGTTCATTCTATATTTCTATATTCTAATATGATGTTCCAATGTACACTTTTGTTTCTAAATTTCCAATCATATCAACATGAAGGATCATTTTGTTGATTTTTTTTAATTTTTCATATATTTTTAAATAATTTTATTGTGTTATAGGTGTAGTTTCCATGTTATAATGTGTAATAAATAACATATGTAATATAGAGTTTTAACATAAAATCTTTCATACTTGTTGATATGATCATTATATAAAACATAAATATGTGATCTGAAGGTAAAAAAAAAAGTGAAGAAAATCATGAAGTTTATATATCTAATAAACTTATTATTAAATAATAAAATTAAAAAAAATCAGTATAAGAATAAGATCTAAAAAAATTATCAATATTAATCCAGGTTGGTCTTTTGAACCCGTGACCTGAGTCACAAGAACAAAATGACCCAATTAAAAAAAATGATGCATAATCATAAATTAACTCAACATTAAAGGATAAAATTAGAACAAAAAAATTAATTTTAAAAAAGAATTCAATATCATAAATAGCAATTAAAAGAATAAAAACTAAACTCAACACTGTAAAAAAAATAACATGATATTTTTAAATTTTAAAAAGCTAATGTCAATAATGAGAATATAAAAGAAAAAAAGGGAGGAAAAGAAAAAAAAAGTACATAAAGCTCTTATCACGACTCTTCTATCAACAAGCATAGTATAATCAAAAAAAGTATGTCGCATCACTTTAAATGCAGCCGCTGACCGTAATGTGATACTATAAAAAAAGTTGCACTTGTTTCTAAAGTATGATGACATCACTACACATAGTGACATATGTATTGTACATGTTAGTTTATACTTATCACTTTTGACTTTTTAAATTTTTTTATTGTCAAATTTAATTCCTTAAACCTTAATTATTTTAGATTAATTAAATTAAATTTTATTTTGCAAAATTAATTATCAAACACTATTCTTAATTTATTTTTGATATCATGGAATCCTATTATCTAAGCAACCAAAAAAAAAACTTTCAAGTCTAATAAAAAAAATAACTGTGAAAAAATGAAATTAAAAAGAGAATGTGAAAAAATAAAATTAAAAGGAAAAAAATCAAGGGACCAAAACAAAAGGGTTGAATATTTCCCATGTCAACATTTAAGTCCCCAATGTTTGAAAGAAAAAAAGGGCTCAATACTTGTGTAGTGTTGAAATTTAATCCTCATTGCTTTAATTATTTCAATTTAGTTTCATTTAATATTTTTAAATTAAGGATAAATAATCCATTTTGTTTTTTTGACATTATAAGTAGTCAATATCAAGTCAAACAAAATAAATAACTAACTTTAATTTCTAATTAATCCAATATACATAAATGAAACAGAAAAATAAAAAAAAATACTATGTGAATTCATAGTTTATTCTCTCACAACACAAAGTACATCATTGAGCTCTTTTGAGTTTTTTTTTTTAATAATATAAGAGAGAAAAAAAAAAAAGCATTCATTTGAATAGATTATGATAGATATCTATCTAATTCGGTATCAAATTACCATCTCTTTATTTAATCTCATAAATTAAATATGTGAGAGTTGAAAACTTTTCTATCTTAAAAATAATCAAAAGCATGGGGTATAGATAGTCGAAGCTTCTAGTTTCAAATACATACACTAGAGGAAGAAGGTGTTCTATGGGCACAGTCTTGTTGAAACTTCGTCAAGCCACTAAGCATGAAGAAGTAAATGCCCAGATAATCACCGAGATTCTTTGAACAAAACCCGTTCATGACTCTAGCTGGTTCAAACATCAAACCTCAAGAAAGAAAGAAAACACTAATTTTATTTGAGCTCCATTTTATTAAAACTCAGCAGCTCCTAAATCGATGAACATTGAGAGTGCAGTGGCTTAAACACATCCAAAAGTCTATGGCCAAAGAACATTTGTTCACGTCCTGCATCTCTTTCTCCCCATCTCCATTACAGTACCATTCATGCTACGAAATTCCCACCAAAACTATGTTTGTTTCTTAAAAACTGGTTTTTAAAAATTAATTTTTAAATTTTGTTGTATTTATTTATTATTAAAAAAATTAATTAATGAAAAACACTTTATAGTTAAAGAAAAATTTAGTTTGATTTTTAAAAAAGTGTTTTCCTAAAAAAATTGAACGAAAAACACTTTCTGAAAGTTATGAAAAATTTAAAAATATTATATTATTTATTGATTATATTAAATTTGATCTTTAAACTTTTGATTGCTATATATATTTTGTTTTAAATACTTATTTTTAAATTTTATCTCTTAAAATTTAATTTTTATATTAACTTAGGTTCTCATTTTTATAATTGTTATTTATTTTTTTTTAATCATTTTTTTATTGAAATTTTTTATCTATCAAATTTGATCCTCATTATTATTTTTTTTATTTAAAATAATTTATAAAATATTAACTATTATTATTTTAATTTTTTTTATTTTTTAGATTTGATCTTTATTATTTTGATTATTATTTATTTTATTTGAGATAATTTATAAATTATATTTTTTTTTAATTTCATTCTTATTTAACATTTTAATTTGTAAAATTTGATCCTCATTATTTTAATTTATGAATTATATTTTTTTTCAATTTCATTCTCATTTAACATTTTAATTTGTAAAATTTGATCCTCATTATTTTAATAAACTTGAGAAAAATAAAACAGTAATAAGTTATTTTCCAACTTATTTTTCATAAGCTAACCAAATACTAGAAAGCATTTTCCAATTATTTTCCATTACACTACTAAATATTAAAAAATAATTTACTTTTCTGAAATTTACTTTTCAAAATGAAAACTAATTTTCTACAGACAGACAAGGACTAGAAAAATGACGTGTTTCCTCCATTTATTGCATCTTGCTATATTTGTGGCTTGTGATTCACCGTTGTGGGCCAGTCAAGTTTTTCATCGATATAAAAAAAAATACTAAAAGAAATTTAAAACTTAAGTCATCATCAACCAATTAATAATTTAAATAATATAAATAAAAAAAATATAACAAGAAGAAATAAAATAACAGAAAAAAAGGTAAAAAAAAATAACATAAACCCTTTAGAATATAAAAAAATTCAATATTGAAAGGAGAAAATGTCAATGAGTAATAAATTAATATTTAAACTGTGCAATAAAAAAACAAAATAATCAATTTAACCTCATGCAATTTGTTAAAAACAATTACCTGATAAGATGATAAAAGTGATCAAAATCACCTGATAAGATCAGGTAATTTTGATCTTATCAGGTAATTTTGATCAAGAGGCAATTTCATCAAATAGCTAGTAATCTGAGTCTTAGGCTGTAGGCTATAGTAATTTTCCCTTTTTAAAATTTAATTTAATAACAAATAGTATAAACAAGGCGTAAAAACAAATTATTTAAAGATAAAATCCCAGGGGCACAATCAAACATCCCAGTAACCTGGAAAATGCAATTTTGAACGGTCGGATGATTGCAGAAGGCAAAAGAACACTAACACCTGCCCGCTTGCCTGATATTGACATCAGCCACATCATTCATAAACTTGCAACACAAATAGAAAGCGAGCAGGAAATGTGATTAGCACTCCATTTTTTAAATGTTACACAGGAACCAGGCATGTACGGACTTGCTATGTAGTTTGTTCCGTTAACCTTCTCCCATCGAGGACAGCCTAGAAACCATTCGTATCAGCCAGTATTCACAGCGTCTCATCCTTGTCTCGCTTTCCACAGTGACATGACATCACAAACTTAGAGCTTCCCCAAGACATGAAGTAAAGAGAAAACATACCAAACATAAACCTCCACATTGAGAAACCCAGAAACATGCTGCCCATTTTCTTCATCGGTGTTGCATGAACACGAGATGGGAAGGGGATTATGTTGTTAACACATCGGGAAGTGTGGTGGAATGAGCTCCAAGCACCTTGCCACCAACATCTGGGAAATTCTCATGTCCAGGAAGTGGACACACCTTCCCATCAGCATCTACCAGCAAAGGATACTTGAGAAGATGTCCTTGCAACAGTTTGAAATTCGGATCTGTGAATTTCCTCCAGTTGTCCTCGGCAATTTTATTTACTTTCTTAACACAATGCAAATCCTCGGGCTCCATGAACAGTTCATCTATCCCACCAAGATGTTCCACCCATAGAGACATTCTATATCCATAAATCTGCACAAAAAGAAAAGAAAAGAAAACATTGTTCCATGCTGACCACCTAATGAGCAACAGCAAAACAAGGCCAGAAACAAGATTTTTCCTATGGCATGAAGAATGATGCCAAACAAACCTGTCCACGTGGATGTTTCTTCCTAGTAGCCCATGTGTGCTGGGGTTGATATGAGCCCATAGCTATCTCAGTGTCTTTTGACCCAGCCATGGATCTCTGGTTAATATTTGCAGATCCCATTATCACATACTCATCGTCCACTATCATTCCTTTTGCATGGACATAAATCATGAATCGCTGAGATTTAAAAGATTCGGAGACCTGATTGAAACAATGTGATTGTGAACATTATTAGGACTTCAATGCAGATAAAAAGTAAAGTCACACTTCAAAGATAAACTCAACTATCATACCCTTCAGCAAGATTAAATAGTAAGGAACAAAAATAAATATCATGGGGTCAATTTTTAAGGCTATAAGAGTAGCTGACATTTGTTTTAGTGAAATAACAACAACCGTGCCTTTGAGAAGCAGGTCACAGAAGATTTCTGCCTCAACATTTTCAGAAACAGAAAGTCATGATAGTTTTCCCATCATTTAGGTCACTGGACACAATCAAGAAATGAGATAGACATGAAAGAAAAATTTGCCTTGTAAATCTATGTCAGAAACTTGAAAAAATGGCAGCACTCTATGTAACCGGTATAATCCAGAATTGCCAGAGTAT